TCTGCCCCGTGGCGGCAGCCACCTGAGGAAGTTTTAACATAACGGCTCCTTCTTGTATAAGAGTGCATCCAAAAAAGCGAAGATTCTATAAAATCTTGATTAGTACGCTGATAGCATAAGCGCTTTAGTTTCAGCATAAGGTGATATGATAATAATACCTTTTCCGTCTCACGATCCATCCCATCAGCTAATGAAGGTGGGTCCTGAAGGGCCAGACGCGCTTTTTCATCCATAGTTTGGTACCATTTATCACAGTTGATGTTAACCCTAGAAAAAATTCGTATCATAGATCTAAAGACATGGATATGATCAGCCGTACGTAAAAATAGTATGTTATAATTTAAAGCATGAAAACGTTTTGAAGAGTTACAAGTGTTAAAATGGTGATGGAACTGTTAATCAGCTAGTAGTTAGAAATAGAAACAGAAAGAAATAAGAAGAGATAACACACGTAGAAAAATGTGCTCTAAGTCCAAAAGAGCTAGGTCGTATTGGATTGTTCTCATCTGCAGCATTCTCCGAGTTTTCTCCACCATTCTCAGAGTTTTCTGGAGCAGCTTCAGGCTGAAAAAATTAGCATCTGTAGAGTCAGAAAAAAAGAAGAATCAAAAAATGACAAGTTTTTTAAAAGATGAATGAAGACGTTAAGACGTTTTTTGTTTCTTTTTTGATAGACACACCTTCCTTGTTCGTACAAATGCTTGAGCTTTAGCTAACGCCAAACTGCGCTTTTCAGCAAGAGTAGTCATTGTGACGAAGTTGTGACATGAAACGTATACCACGCAACAAGCGGACGGAAGTGGGAGTGAAGACCCTGTAACCGTTATAGCTCACGAAATAAAGTGAGCAACTAAATTAAGCCCAGAAATTGGAGATCACTCTAGATTGCAGATAAAAAAGCATGAACAGAACTAAATTTAAAAAAAAAAGATGGCTGTTTTCGAAAGCCACACCTAAAGAAACGTCTGCACTTGTGCGTGCACTCAACTCGGGCGGGCGAAAAAGCGCAGACTATCGCAGTCACAGTAATCAAAAATTTGAGCATGTATAATAAAGGTTGAGAGTGTTATGACACAAACCATGAAGTCGGCTTTACGTTGACTCCCTTGTAACGGTGGCAGAGATTGGATTAGCTGTCATAAGGCATTTTATTATTTTGTTAAATAATTCGAAACGAGATTAGCCTACAACATTACTGCCGTGAAAGGTGTATTCTCGAAATCAGTTTAACATGCAGCAACTATAGTCAGGGAGTTTTTATTTACATGTTCACTACATATAATTAATTAATTGGTTGGGCCTTATTGTGGAGGTTAATAGATTGCAAAGTATTTCGACACCGATTTTCGGGCAGTTCGTTAACCTCGGGCGGATTGTAAGCAAAGGCGTAGGGTTATCAACTGGTTTGCATCAGAAGATCACTTAAACGATTGTTCTATTGCGAACATACCGCGCAGATGGGAGGTGCCCTGAAGCGTTCTTTTCTGTGCTTCATATAATTTATCTATACATTATCTATCGTAATTCATGAAGAATGTATGAATTCTGCTAACTATGAATTCCTGTTATCGAAAAAGACAAGATCGTGCGCCGTTTGAGCTTAAGTCTTATGTGCCGCCCCTCCCTAGCAAACCTCTTTGCGGGCTGGTACTGCTACGCAACGTTTATCCATTTAACCATCAACGAACACAAGATGGAAAACAAAAGATCAGCTGTTTTAAACCATTACTAAAACAGAAGGGGTCAAGAAAACAACAAGTGACGGTGTTTTAAGTGGCCATGGAAAGTTAGTTGGCAGAAGAAATTTTCGAATTACCGATGGAATCAACTCCGTAAAATAAACCTATTGATGTTGTCGGTGGGATATGCAACTGCGCAAGAAAAACGGCAAGCACAGGTATTATTATCGACAAAGATGATGCTCTTCTAGGAGTGGGGCGCGGCTCCTATGCCATGTTGGGGGCTTGACTCCTCACTCGCGCACCTGTGCCGTTAAACCAAGTAAACCTTCGTGCCTATTATCTGCTATTCCACTGAATAACCGTGTTTTCGGGTAGAGATACCTAAGAG